ACACACACACACACACACACATACACACACACGCATACACAGACGCACACAGGACCTTGAGTGTACACACACACACACACATACACACACACACACACATACACACACACACACACACACACACACACACACACACACACACACACGCACGCAGAAGGACCAAAAATGTTTTCTGTTGTTTTGGGGAAGTAAAATGTGTAGTTGGTAGGAAGAAGTACCAATGAATTCCAAACACATGATCCCTTCTTAAAATGTTTTCCATTCTTACCCTGTCCCCCTCCCCTTTACTTTCAGAAAATGACATTTCTATTTGTTCCTTTTCTTGTTGAGATAATCTTTTTGCTCTCCTGTGAGTGATTCATTGACTTGTCATTATTAACATAGATGTGTTTGTATTGTTTTTTAGTTACCTGATGATACTGATGCTGATGACTTTTGAATTTAATTTGATGTGGTGGAGTTTGGGAGTTTTGAATTTCTTTTTTTCCTTTTCCTTTTCACTGGGTAAAGGGAGGATCCCCTTCCTCCACTCCCTCAACTGATCATCTGCAAATTATTTCTGCAGCCCTGCAGTTGCCCCAAATAGCCTTTTCCCTGCATCTTCTGTCCTCAGTCATGCCAGTCTGGACATGCTCTGTTGTGCCCTGTGACATAAGTGCTCAATATTTCTATTGCTTTCACTGTGTTTTAGGTGTTGTAGAGGGATCGAAACTAAACAGAAGCAAGGGAATGTCAGAGTAATGATGCTGGAGAAGACTTCTGTTCAGGGAGCATTCTGCATTTGGGCTATTTCTTCTGCTAGCACTGGGGATTCCCATGTTGCAGCACTGCTGGGTCATGCCAGTTTTGTATCTGGGGTTTTGGGGTCAGTTTTTCTCTTCTTCATGCCACTTTGGTTATGGTGTTTCTTCTAGGCTTGTCCCTCCCCTAAACTAAAAAATCTGAACTAGAAGTAAAGAGGCTGAGACTCTGCCTCCTGGAGGAGGGATTCAACTGCCTCCAGTACCAAGCAGGTTTAGAGTAGGACTCCCCACTGCAATCGGGGACCTTGTTGTACCTGCTCCCCATTGGCAGATTGTTTAGGCAGCATTGCTGGAATCTGTGAGAGGTCAAGACAGAGCCCACCTCACCAAGATCATCAACTGTATTCAAATTATTGACCTGGACAGAATCAAAGGCTGATAGTAACCTCTTATAAGAAAGAACAAAGATGGGCATGAAAGAGACAACCTCAGCCCAAGATATGTACTTACAGTTCCTAACTTATGTGAAACTTCCCCCATTGTTAGCCGATTGCATGGATAATCTTCCATGGCTCCTTCCTTCCCCTCTTCCTGTCTTCCTTCTTTCTCCTGCTCTCCCCTGCACAGGAGGGTTGCTGGTATGGGCATAGTTAAAGCACTTCTAGCACTCAAAGACTGCCCTGTTTCCAACATTCTCCCATCCCACAACATTTGAAGTAAGCAAGCGGGGAGCCTAGGGGACTTTTCCCTGTGGAGAAAGGATCTGAGGCAGAGATGCTACCCTCAGGCTCATTTTTGGTAGGCTTTACACTTAGGAAAAACTAACTTTCCACACAAAGAGACAGACTCCCTATGAGTACTCCCTATTCCTCCTCTCCACATAGCCCCTCAGATAGATAGACCTTGAACAGCAAGGAGAATGGAGTACAAAGGAGTAAGAATGGGCCCTACTATGGAGAGCCATTCTAGTGAGGAATCTGGAGATTTTGAGTCTATCCTGGACCCTGTGGGAGAAGACTTAATCATGAAAGGACTCATGGCTGCCTGGGACACAGCATAGCTGGCTTGATTGCTGCTCTTACGCCTCCTGACCCAGACCAGGCCCTGCCCAGCCTGGGAATTTTTCTTCTATGGGAATCAAATTACAAGCTGTTTAAGCTCCCATTCCACCACACCCAAATGAGACTTGAGGAGTTAGCCAAGGATAAGTGTGAGCTGGGCAGAAGGCCAGGGCTCGGGACTGGCCACAACTGCTCAGCACCTGACCCAGCTACTTAAGCCCACTTGACAAGGAGCCTGGTACCCAGTGCCTAAGCTAAAGTGGCTTCCCTGGCAAACAGAATGTCTGGCTGTGTAGGCCTCCCTTGAGTGTACATTATTTTCCTACTTTCAATTCCTTCTCACTAGGCTTGGCCTTGACTTGTTTCTCCAGGGCCTGGGGGCACACCAAGTGGGGATGCATGGACAGGTCCCTGGACCTACAACTTCTCTTGGCCAAGCTCACTCACACTCCCACTTCCTGCTCCCCTGGGGCTGTGCCCAGAGCTCCAGAATCAGGGATTATCACCTCTTTCCACCCACCTCTCATCCACCCAACCCACTGGCCTCATCAGATGCCAATAATTTATGAAAACAACAAGAAATCTGTTCACCATTGCTTGGAATATTCCCCCAGTCTATGGCAGAAAAGCAGACCGGTGGCCAACAGCCCCAAGGGGAACCCCATTACCTGGGCTTAGGATCCAAGCCTATTCTGTGTTCCCATAGCGATGCTATCCACAAGAACTCTGTAAATCTCTGTTTCTGCATGGCCCAGAGATCCCCTTTCCTCAACTCAATGAGACCTGGATTTGCTCAAAAAGGCTTTGCTAATATATTCTATGGGCCCTCTTGTGGGATGGTCCTAACCCAGAAATCCACCTCCTCTTTCTCTTTCTCCCTCTTGTCCCTTCTATGTGTATATCTCTAAAGGATTTATAAGGACAGCAACAAGAGAGTTCTAACAATTCTAGTGTGAAGCCAAATAGTGATTTTTAGTGTTTTGGGATGGGGTGGGCTGGGGTGGATGGATGGGCAACAGTGATTTTGATTACCCCTGCTGCTCTGCACTTGCCAGTTTATTATTTCATTTCTTCTATCTGACTGTTTGACCCTGTCAAACAAGTGTCAAAGTTGTGTGTTTAAAAAAAAATGTTTAACAAAAATATGATGTTGTAATGACACAAAGCCTTATGAAAATATTTATGGAGTTCAATAAAAGAAGTAAAAAGACACCTCCAGGCATAGCTCTCATGCCATTTTGTGTGTGTGTTTGTGTATGTGTTTTACCAATTGTGAAATAAAGGGAATTTGCCTGGCAGGGACAGCTTACACCAGCCTAGTCTTGGCCTGCCAGCCCTGCTGTTCTATTGCCAGGCTTTCCATGGTCTGTCCGTGGCCTTCCATGTCTTTTCTGGAAGAGTGGGCCACAAGAATCAAGTTTGATCCTGTAACCAGGGGTGCTTCAAATGTCTTCATGGGTGGGACTATCCTTCATGTCACTTGGCTCTTTCACAAGACTTGAAGGCCCATTCCTGACCTTGCTCCTTTTCCTTGCAGCTGTAAGTCCAGCACCTGCCCTGTGTACTCTCACTTGAGCTTAAAAGCTGCTTTTGGGACCTAACCAGAATCCATATCACTTAGGAATCCCCCACCTCCAGTTCTTTCCTAATGCTTCCAGTCCTGTCTCCTCAGAGGTAGACATATTCTTTATCCATCCCCCAAAGTGGATGGAGTGACCTTACTGTTTCTTTTATCATGGTGTCTCCTGCACATACATGCTCCTTGCTGCCCACAAGGCTCCCATGTGGTATCTTATGCTGCCCATTAGAGACACAATAGTTTGTATGTTCTGATACTACTTAACCTGCCTTTCTCCAGAAGAAATAAACACTGACCTTAATAAAATACTTATTCTTCACCCATCTCCCAACCCCCTTCAAATTGATCTCAGAGTTGCCTACTATCAGAGAGTTCCTGGGTGCAGCATGGGTTGAGGGGGGTTGGAAGCAAGAATATGGAATAGGTTGATACTAGCACATGAATGTATCACTCTCTATAATCTCCTTGAGAGCCCTGTATCTTAAGTTTTCTAACCTAGGCTTCCAACAGGTGACTACAGCCATAGGTCCTTTTGTCTCTAGTACCAAGAGCAAGGGGGAGGAGGCCTAAGGTCTCTGCTGTGGGCTTTGGCTTACTTCAGTGTTTCAGTCACAGAGACCACCACTCTGCTGCTTGACCCACTTAACTTTTAGACCCTTTGGGATTTCCTTATTTATGATGACCTTCTTACCCCTGGCTCCCAGAGACTTCTGTCCTGAATAGGATACGGGACTGGTGAGGTAAATCTTGCTTGCCCAGGCCTTTACCTACCAGGCCCAAGATAACAAAATGAGCATTCCACCAAGTCCAACCACCTGCAGGGCAACAGTTCAGCCTGACCATAGGTAGATTAGACCATCTGGGTTTGCAACACAGTTAGAGGGGGTGTTGGGAGGTAAAATTCATGTTCCCTGGAAGCACTCTATTCTGATTCCATCTCTCCCATTTCTCTCTTGAACTGTGACTTCCTTCTCCAGTAGGCCATGAGTGTCACATGGACACTGTTTTCTCATATAGTTGGGGAAGAGGAAGAAAGGAATGGTACATGGCCATAGAGTGTTCCTGTGTTCTTCAGAAGCCTCTATTACTTCTGTTTAGCTCACCAGTACATCATTTAAGGCAGATTGTTTAGGCAGGTTTATGTCCATCTCCACAACAGCCATGCTGCCAACCAGCTGAATTAGATTCAACTTGCATATCCTGAATATGTAATCTGGGCCAGGTACACAAGAAATACCAAGATGACTAAAATAAAATATCTACAGTCACTCAGAATTTAGTGAGAACATATAAGCATGGACCATAACAAGGATGGATGTGGGCCTGGAAGCACTCAAAAAATGGAGTGGTTAATTGTGATTGAGGAAGATCTTTGCAATCAGGATAAGTTTAGTTGTGCTGCAGTAACAGATTTTTCCCCAAATCTTAATGGCT